TTGAGGTATACCTATGATGAAAATTACAGGCCTCTTCTCTCATAGTTGAGGTATACCTATGATGAAAATTACAGGCCTCTTCTCTCATAGTTGAGGTATACCTATGATGAAAATTACAGGCCTCTTCTCTCATAGTTGAGGTATACCTATGATGAAAATTACAGGCCTCTTCTCTCATAGTTGAGGTATACCTATGATGAAAATTACAGGCCTCTTCTCTCATAGTTGAGGTATACCTATGATGAAAATTACAGGCCTCTTCTCTCATAGTTGAGGTATACCTATGATGAAAATTACAGGCCTCTTCTCTCATAGTTGAGGTATACCTATGATGAAAATTACAGGCCTCTCTCATCTTTTTAAGTGGGAGAACTTGCACAATTGGTGGCTGACTAAATACTTTTTTGCCCCACTGTATTCGTGGTACCATGAAGGATTTTGGTGAAACTTGAAATCTTGTGCTTTTCACTACAATTAAATGTTCAGAATTCAGGCACCTTTGTCACAAAAAAATGCATTTGAAATACCCGGAGAAGAATATTTTTGTGGAAAACATTTCTAGTGGGAGAACATTAAGGGAAAAGTAATTTATATTGTCTTCTCTCTTCCAGCTACCCAAACCATTTAAAGGGGTGCTTTAAATAAAAGTGCATGTACCCAATAAGATGACCCTAACCAACATTGTAATACTGCTTTTAAATTCCATTTGAGTGGGAAATTATCTTTAAAGAAAACCCTGAATGAATGAATGAATGAATGAATGGGTGCTCCACGTTTAGTTTTTAAACTACAAAGGCCTAGCTCTATTCTCTACATGAAGCTGGAGCCAATGACTTTGAAGTGTCTGTATAAATTATCCAGAATATGATTCAATGTATTTGTGGGTGACAACTTGGAGTTCTGCTTTTTTTTTAATTAGATCACAATTTCTTAACTTTTTGGGTAAGGAACAGTATTTGTAGATAATGTTCTACTACACAGCTAATCCTGAACAACAACTGATCTTAAATGAACAATGTTAATATTAAGACTCAGGAACCTAACCCATCTATACCTCATCGTTCTTTCATATGACACAATTTTGAACCTCCTGGGATAATTTGAGAAACCAACCAAAAACGTGGCTGTCATATGTCAAACTGAATATTCAAAGTAAGAGGAATCATATTATATTGTATAGAGTGTGATTGCAGGGGGCAAAATTAAACATGTTTCTAAAACAAAAGGAGCACCTGGAAAACCCTAGTGCTCTAAAAAAAAGCTGGCAAACCCTACTTTTCTGACACAACTGAACATGTTATGGTAAATGTCTGGAAAATCTTTTATGGCATCATGCACACAATACTGCAGTGTTTTGCCACATCAAATTACGTTTTCCAAATGAGTACTTACTCCCATGTCAATCCAAACAAGTCCTGTATTTGAGTACTAGTATCTCTGGGGCATATTGTTCAGGCAAATGAATGGCTAGTAAAGAGTCCACTTTTACTCATTCTTCCTATTGCATGGAAATTTCACAGAAATATACACTTTGTGGCTAGTATTTCATTTAAATCTTGCCTAAATTGCACTGGTCATAATTATACCCCACTTAAATTCATTTTCACAGAATTTCTCCTGGCACTTTTCTGGTTTTTCCTCTGAATTATCCTCCAACATTATGCACCAATGTCAACCTCATTTTATACTTACTTTACCCAATTCTAACAAATGTCCCAAATAGACAGAATGAGCAGAATAATCAGCATAGCTCAAGGACTTGACAAATGAGAAAGCTTCCACAAATATCTAGTTGAACCCTTCAAGCTTTACAACTCCAGGGAGTCTCTTCTACATGGAGTCTGGTGGTATTCATGTATCACTGAACATCCATCCATGTGTTTATATGCATATTCAGATGGTAATGTGGAGCTGTCTACATGCTTTGTCATCTGATTGGTACGTAGATATTAGAATCCTATATTTAAGCTCTGTTCAGGTGTTATACCTAAATCAGGAATATAAATGCAGGTGTGGCGTTATAGTGTCTACATATGAAAATATGTACAAAAGGTAACATTCCCATCATATCCATCTATTGGGGAGGGGGAATGGAGAGTAAGAGATGCCACACAAATAATGTCATCATTCAGGTGATGTAACATTTATATATACAATCATTTGTAGACTGCCTACTTACACAAGGACTCGTGGTACTTTATTAGTAACCACCACCAATAAAAAAAAATAATGAATCTAGCCTAACCTCAGGCAGCCCTAGGACCATCAGCACCCACATGCTTTGCATAATAGAAAAATTTTCAAAGCTTTCTTTAAAGGTTCCATTCCTCACCTCTGCAAGTAAAGTACACCAAAGGGCAAAGCTTCCTCTGAGAAGCACTGTTGCCGAGCACTCCCTTTCCTCACCTCCTGTGGGTGCAGTACCTTTAGCATGCGCTGTCTCAGAGATTTCACAGGGTGAGCTGAATGTGGATGGCAAAGGAGGACCCATAGATATCCTAATACCAGGCCATGGCATTAGGTTATAACCAGTACTTTGCATTTGACCCACAAGCAAACATAACCAATGCAGCGATCACAACACAAGAGTAACACCACTGCAAATGCTACCCGCAATTAGCAGATGGGCTGCTGCATATTAGACCAGTTGAAATTTGCAAGTCGTCTTGAAAAGCAGCCCCAAGACCCACACAAAGTATCATACAATAGAATATGGCAAGGCATGATTAACTTTTGCCAGGGGGTCCCAGTTCAAAAAGGCCTGCAATTAATGCAAAGGCCTTCCTGGCCCCAGGCTATACCTGATATTCTAGCAAGTGTCATGAATCCAGAAGGACCTCCAAAATATGGATCTGCTCCTATAGGAGTGTGACCCTGTCCAAAGTCAAAACTGGAATTAGAATCAGGCCAATAAAACACCAACAAACAGTACCAGTCTTGAAGAGATTTAATTTAAGATTGATTTGACCCATCTAGATGCTTACAGATTCCAAGCTCTGGGCTAGGACACAGAAGGCATACTTCAGGTAGCGATGTTTAACTCATTATCATCAGCATACAGTTGATACTGCTTCCCATACTGATTATTTCCCCCAGCAGCTTTTAGAGATATTAAACAGCACAGGGGAAAGGATGTCTTGCAGAACCCCACATCGGAGCTGTGTGTGACATGACCACTATTCCCCCCCCATACACACACACACACCCCAACTGGAACTGCCCACTTAGGAAGGAACAGAATCATTGCAGAATGGTAGCTCCAAGTTCAAATCTTTGCATGTATCCAAAAAGATACCATGGTTGATGGTATTAAAAGCTACCAAAAAGTCTAAAAATATCAGGAGGAACACACTGTATCCAGGTTCAAAGGTCATCTACAGGGGGAACTAATGCATTTTCTATCCCATGTCCAGACCTGAATCCCAAGTGCAAGAAATCCAGAGCGTCTGTTTCATTTAGGATTCTCTGTAGTTAGATTCCTACCACCTTCTTCAAATTTTTCCCTAAAAAGGCAAGATTAGAAATTAGCTAATAGTTGTCCAAAGTGACTGGGTTGAGAACTGGCTTTAGAAGAAGGTATACTACTACCTCTCTCAAGACGTCTAGAACTTCCCACTCCCTTAACAAAGCAGTGATCACCTCCTGAATCCAATCACAAACATGGATCAAGCTTACAAGTGGCAAAGCTCATGTCACAGAGGGCCCTATCCACAGAGATCCACTGATCTCTGTAAATCCAGGATTACATCAGATCTTCTTGCAAGACACTCCCTTGGTCTTCTTTACAGTTCCTGTTGAAATGGAATCAAACTTGGAGCAAATGTGAAAGATTTTAACTATAAAGAAACTTGTAAATGTGTCTTAGTGACCACCAGCAACATCTTCACTGCCATTTTCCCCCAAAAAGGTATGGGTAACCTTAAACAGAGTTGCCAGATGCAAGTCTGCAGATACGGTAAGGGCAGAGAAGTTGCTGTCCTTATTGCTATGGTATACTCCCCAAAACAGATATACAACTCTGATTGGTTGGGTTCATACTTTTTCTCCACCATCACTTTAGGTGGAGAACTGCATCTGTTTCATCTTCTGCAATTCTTCATGAACCAAGGAACTTGCTGGGTCCTGCAAGGAAGGAGAGAAATTTGGAAAAAATTCATTCAGCATCCTCACCATTTCCATGTTCCAGTGATCAATGAGACATACGACAAAGCTGGTTACAGGATTGCTGGGGAATTCCTCAAACATCCCCCAAAAGCCCAGATAGTCCATTGGGTGGATCATTTTAACCAATTTGACATTTCTGCAGAGGTTAAACATGCTGATGGGAAGCATGAAAACAAGAAAGTGATCTGACCACAGCAAAGGACTGTTCTCCATTTTCAGGTCACGTTGCAGCTGCTCTGAGGTAAAAGCCAGATTTAACATGTGACTAACTACATGTATTACATCCAAAATCTCATCTCCTGAGATCCCATGGTCACTGTGAAGGCCACAAACTCCTGATCCCACTTGAAATCCATTCCTAGAGAATGAAAGCCTTTTTTGTGTGTTTAATAATTCTTTGGGGGCAGAATCATCTTAAATTCACAGTTTTCAGATAAATATGTATTTCCTATAAGACATCTTGGAAAAAATAATTTTAGAAAACCCAATTAAAAGAACCAATGATTAATCAGTAATATAGTGCTATCACTTATTTTTGAAGATAAATAAGGAACTTGCATTTAAATGCCCACATGTTTAAGCAGAACTGTCCTACAAGCAAGAATATGCAATGTATTAAAGGGAATATATTAAGCTCATATAGATCTAAGAGAGTATGTTTCACTGCCAGCAACTTACAATCCATTGCAGTACAAATTTAAATCATACCCTTTAAGGGATGCCTTTACAATATGTAGTGTTAGAAGAACTGAATGTCTCCATGCTACAATGCAAATCTGCTATCTTTTGAAACACTAGTTCAACAAAATACTCAGGGTAAAGCGACTATTAAAGAAAATATTTTATTACACCATGAAAAAGTATAATCATTCAAATCCAAACTTGTTTAAAAATCTGAAATTTGTTAAGACAGCCTGTTGGTATATTTTGTTCCACATGGGAATGATATGAATACTAATCTTGTTACTAAATATTGCACAGTCTGAAAGAGACAAATAATGAAAAGAACAACAAAACAAAATCACATGATCTTGGGAACAATCTCACATTATGGAAAAAAAAACCTACTAAGAAACATGTTTTTTTTTTTAAAAAAAAAAAAGGTTTTTGCTTCTACAGTAGCTTTAAGTTTATAATTTTTGGAATGACTGTATTCCACTGAAGACCATTACAGAGATAGGAAGCTTCATTTCAGCAATCCCTTGTGCAAATAAGATTAATTAGAAAAAATAATGCAGTTAAGTCCTTGATATCATTGAGACAATTGCCACATGTTTCTATTACATCCCTGTTGGGAGAGAGAAAATATGAAGAACAACTTATGCCATGAGTTTTGCCTGCAATTCCATCTCCGCTGCCTGTTTCAGTGCAACATCCACCAGGAGCTGAAATCCACTAAAGTCCTGATTGAGGTCTGGAGGAGTTGGAGGAGGAGTGTTGAAAAGCCCACTCTGTGCATTTGAACTAGGTCCCAACTTATCCTCATGGTATAGGAGCGAGTTGTCTGTAAAGTTGGTAGGCGAAGCCCACTGCAAGTCATCTGTGGTCTGACCTGCACCAGCTGGCTGATTGAAATGGAAAGGGACATCTTTCAGTGCAGTTACGGTGGTATGACAAATTACTGAGGGCCGAGCCAAAAGAGATCCTGGAGAAGTGTTACAAGACTTGTTTGGTCCTGGGCTACCAGAGAGAAAGGAGCTCTCAATCAAGGGAATGCAGTTTTTTGAGCTGGAAAATTCCGCTGGGTGGCCGTCAGTTACCTTGGTCCCTCTTCGTGAGATAGTAAATTGATTTGGGTCCTTCCCATCCTTCCTCAGCATGTCAGGCAAAAGCCTGCGCCGTGCATTGATGAACCAGTTGCAGACCTGAGAATACAATGACATTTTCATTCTTACCTCCATTCAGTTCCAACTATGTGTTGCATGAGAGCAGTTCAGCTAAATGCCTGAATCCCTTCAAGCTAGATTCCTGAACTACAGGACCAAAAAAAGGCTGGCAAACAAGTTTTGACACACCCTAAAGACAGCCTTTCCTGGTTTGGCCAGCCTCTCCTCTCAGCAGAAAGCCCCTGGCTGTCCAAAGACTGTAGCGCATTAACCCCTAAGTTTGGTTTTAAGTCTGAATACATGTAATGAACAAAGATTACTCTTTGTTCATTACAGTTAGGTTAATTAACAACAGGAAAACATTTCCCTCTGAAAGAGTAACTCCTCCCTAAAGCAGTTACTGATTTGCCTTGTTCAACTGACTATGTCAACAGGCAAAAGAGGGATTACCTCACCAAGTTTGCTCTTGTTTGAGTATCAAGCCAGTTTCCTGGGCAATAAAAAAAAGTCCAACAGTCCTTTGTGAGGAGAACAGTTTCTCCTTACAAAGAAAATGTGTCAGATACCTACAAAGAAATGATACCAATTATTCTGATCCAACATGGCAAAACCAGATTTAATAAAGCTGAAGTGGGCTGAACTGACATAGTCCAAAAACACAAATATACACATCACCAGCTTCAAATTCTGCACACACAATGTATTATTTTTTTAAAGACGGTGAATTGATTGGGAGAAAATTGTATTAAAATCCCACAAACAAGAGAGGTATTTTAAAATTCATATCCTTCTTCTTTTGTGTTTTCATATCTCCCCCCTCCCCCGTAGGACTTAAGATTAATAAATAAAAGCCATATTTTTTAGAAATCTTCTATTGTTAGAAAATCTTCATATATTTAAATTAAAAGATTCCAGGTTATTTCAGTAAGTACTACAGACCTTATTTCTAATGTTACAAAACTTCATATATATTCAGACAGCAAGTAAACCTTACATACATTAGAGAATACTTTTACCTCCTTTTTACTGGTAGAAAGGAACAAGCAACAGTTAACTTACATGCTGAGAACTGTACACTTTTTCTCAGAATTGGGAACAGAAACCAATCATTTGCATTCTTAGGTAAATCTGAGTACTGAGTATTAGACATTAACTGATTTCTAAATATGCAAAAAGAAGTATTTATGTAAGAAAGTGCATGGAGTCTCAAAACTACTGCATTCAGAAGATTTGGAGAAACTGAAATCCATATTCCCTCCATCATTGTTACCACGTGTGCTTGCCTCTGTAAGTCAGGATTTCTCATCAGGCTACATACTTTGCAATCCCACAGAAGCTTAAACTGTCTTGATAAAAGGCACAGATGGGCATTGGACATTCATACTGATTTTAGATAGGTCCAAAACATTAGTCCTAGGTGAACAGGTAACCATACCACTTTGGTCAGACTAAGCTGTCAACTTTGTGGGTCTGCAGTAAAAATCAGCCTGAAATGGCACCTTTTAAAGTCAAATACTAAGACACTTTTTAAAGGTAAAATGAAAGCTAGTATATAGAACACTGAACACTACTACTGTGCTATACCACCCAATGTCTATTCATTTAAAAGCAACATCTATACTATTCAACAGGTAAACATGCTTATCATTATTGCCTTAAGCTTCATTAGAACGTGCTTACATACCTGTAGTGTGGAAAGGTGCGTCTGTCTTGACAATAGTGCTTTCTCTTGCTCTGAAGGATAAGCATTGTAACGGTGCTCATACAGCCAGTCCCGAAGAATCTGCACTGATTCTTTGGGCAGGTTACCCCGTCTCCTCCTCTTGACTGAGCAGGCAGAAGAGGAGAGATCCAGGGGGACATCCATGTTGTCATCGTCCTCTGTCTCACTGCCTGATATTGCAGCAGCACCTATGATGCACATGAAAAAGCAGCATGATGCTCTCTCTTCTAATTCTGCATTTCTCTACTCAAACACGTTTTATCATCATCCTTTGCAAATAAAATGTGGTAATGTGCACTGACAAGGACCAGGCAGAAAGTCCCAGTATCTTTCATTCTGACTACTTTAGCAATTCACGTACCTGTCTGTATACATACAATGATTTGCTTTATTTGCAGAATCATACCAACTATTGGCCAACAACTGTGGATATGCATCTGGCCAATTTTCTTCAGAGCCAACTCTACCACTTTTTACGAACTTATAACAGTTTTTCAGAGCTAATCCACTCACTGCACTAAATGGTGATTTATTTAATTAGCATTTCTTGAAAAATCAGAAAGGCTGACCTTAACCAAAAAGTTAAGCAATAAGTGAGGGTTTTAAGTTATGATGGCTGAATCCACACATCATTCAAAGCCAGAGTGAGACAAACAAGGTTGTAAATGTGATGTGTGATGCCAGTATTTATGTTATTTCAAAAAAACGTATTAAGAGGAAGGTGGTACACAAACCACTCTCATTATTAAGGTTGTCTATAATAATAATAAAAATAAGCCCACAGAATGAAAAACTCACACTCATTTTTTTTTTCTGGAGCATCAGCTCTTTCCCATTTACAGCTGGCTTTTTAAAATTGCTACTCAATCATTACAATAACTTTATATGAGTATTCTAACATTAAATCACCTAAGAATAATAACTTGGTAATTAGAAGACTTATTAAAATTAAGCCCAATAACAGCTAGATATGAAACTTCATTCTAAACAGTTAGAATTTGCATGGAGCCTTAACATAGTATCTTTTTGGAATATCAACCCTATTTCTGCAACTATAGCTGCAAATTAGCACTTAGCACTAATACCCTGAGAAAATATTCATGAGGATATGATAAACTACGCCTCAAAATGATATCCATATTTCCTTCATCCATTCCCTGAAGTCAAGAAAAGTGGTTGGTTTACAGTAGAATGAAGTTTTTCATCAACCCTCTTTCTCAATATCACTTCATATGTACTACAGTAGTCCTCGTTTAACGACCACAAATGGGACCAAATCCATTGCTAAGTGAAATGGTCGGTAAGTGGATAATCACATGACCATGACTGTAATATCCTTTTCCCACTCCCCTGCCCTTTGGAATGCTCACCCCAGTAGTGTGGGGAAAGCTGGCTTGAAACTGACAAGACTAATCAGTTTCACAATTTCCACTTTTGTTTGCCTCCTAACTACTCCACCACCCTCTGGAATGCTCACCCCAGGGCTGGGATAATTAGCAGAACGGAATTAATGTTTGTATTTGCATTCATTGGAGAGGAAGGGATTACAAGAGAGTAAGCAGGCATACAATGGGGAATATACATTGAAAGCAATGTGCTAGCACCAGCAGCCACAAGCATGCTGCGCAAACAGCCCAGTGTATTCCCCACTGTGGGCCTGCTTACTCTCTTATAAACCCTTCCTCTCCAATCTCCCACTCTGCAAGGTGGAGGGGGGGGGGAGAAAAACAACAGGTCAGGTACAGGACAATGTGTACTAACTGTAATGGCAATCACATGACTGAGGGACACTGTGAAAGTCATAAATGTGGGCGTTGGTCGTAAAGTTATTTTTCAGCACCGTCATAATGAATGGTCGCTGAATTAGGCAGTTGGTAAGTGAGGTCTACCTGTAGTTCAATTACTCTTTTAACCCTTCTTTACTAGTGGTACAGGCTTTACTGCAACAAGGATTCAGTATATGTTGGTATTGTGTAAAAAGGGGAAATTACCATAACTTTTGATCATAACCCCCACCTCCCTGAACTCAAATAGATTTTCATCCTATATAGTGAAATGCATCAGAAAATAGTGCATCGTCTCTTGACACTGGTAGCCAAACAAGACATGTTCTTTCCAGTAGAATAACATAAAATATAGAGCAGAACAGCTCCTCTCTCTGAATTGACCTAGTGACATTATCTTTTCAAACTAGTAGTTTCCTAAATACAAACATTACTGTGAAGGAATTAATTAATTCAACAGCCACTTGTGAGAAGAGCTTAATTGTTCCTCTCTTGGTCTGCCACCTTTTATTCTTTCCAATCCAATGGAACATTGGAAATAAATTATGTATCAGGGGCATGATACTGTCCCATCCAACTCTTTAAAAACTGAACGAAGTTGATCAAATTTGATATAGAGGTAGAAGCTGGCAGAAGAAAGACTACATTTAAAAATGGTCCAGATCAGGCTGAGAGCTGTGGATTAAAAAAAATTCAAAAAAACTGCTCCAAAGCATCCCTATCAAAGAAGCAGTTGGGCAATGGATTAGGATGTTATCACCTCCTTCATTCTATATCCCTTCCATCTTCCATTCCAGGCACATGACCCAGATTGGAGCTGTTATTAAGGGATTGGATAGAGTTCCATAAGCCATGGTCTGCATGTTTCTCTGCCTTGCTTTTTCTAGCAATGGTCCTGTATCTTTTCAGAATGTGTGATGGAGCGGGATAACAATTGTGGCTTTATCAGGCATAAAATACATTGATGGGAAAGCTGCACTCATTGTTTATCTATGGGTACTTTTTTCCCAGCAAGTCCCAGTGTTATTTATGAATATAAACTCTGGTAACCCAATTTTTTAATGATATCTTCTAAGAGATACAGTTCAATAAAAATTGAAACTTTTCAAGGTAAATAAGAAATGTTTTGTATGCAATGTAAACATAATAGGCCATGTACAGGGGCTAGAATGAGATTTCTAGTATTCAACTGCATCAGGGCTCAAGATCTAATTCTGGCCATGCTGTGTCACTAGTGTGTCAGTAAACCAGGTGATTACAATACAACAGCTCAGTGTTCTCCAAATACAATGATAGAGCTAACTGTTGGACTATATAATCTGAAGAGAATAGAGAGAGAGATTAACAAGATGCCCTGCAACAATAATGAATCACCAATTAAGGAGAAGGAGATGGACAAGGTGGAAAGCAAAGTGAAAGACTTCTGACACTTAGATGTTGGCTGGTTTATCTGCATTTTCAGATAAATATTTATCTAGCCTTTTCAATGGCAGACTGTGGTGATGTTCACAAAACATTCTTACCCATTGCTAACTTAATCCTGGTTTAATCAACCAAAATTTCTGAGCTCACACCAACACTGAACCTAGTCACAAGGTGTGGGTTCATCCAACATGCTAACCCAAGCATGTGGTTGGCCAGTTTGTGATCCAATGTGTCATGTAAGCAAAATATATGAGATCTGGGGCCTCTTTACATTGTGTTTGATATAATTTATAGTATGCTATACATTATTATGGTATCTTTTAATACTAGGCTTTGTGACAGTAGTCTTCCATGAATGGAACAGATGTAAAACAGGGCAATCTTGTCAGGGTTTGGACTGTACAAGCCAGATTTTTTATTTTCATCAGTGCTCTTCCAGCTAGATTTCAGTCTGAGAGTATCTTTCTATTTACATGAAAACTTTTGATAGCAGAAAGTAATCTTAAAAAGTAGTTTATGCCTTACGGAAACATAGTAATGTGTCAGCAGGATGGGATATCCCTTTTAAGTACACTTCTGTACTGTGATACTAGATAGTTTATAATATTGAGAGGTTGTTGTTGTTGTTCCCTTCTGTCCTGATACATTTGGGACCTACTTCTTTCTGTATAATGGTCTGATTCGTGGAGACCTTTAGTTATTGTGCTCTCCATTAGTACCTTTCATACATGGATAACATGTAAAGAACAGAAATTCATTCATAGATGCAATAAAAAGCAAGTCAATGGATCCTAACACATTACACAAGATTTACAGCCAAGTGCTGAGGAAAGCAATCTAGCCAAATTATTTTAGTAGCTAGAACAGAAGACTGCCTTAAAAAAAAGAAAAAAAGAAAAAAATGAGTTTAAAACTTGGACTAGAAAATGTTCAAAAGCTAAAATACGTATTCTGGTTCCTTCAAAACAAATGTCAAAACTGATCTCCTCCTCTCCCCGCAAACATAAAAAAGGAGAACCTGTAAAGCTCCTGACAGTACAAATAAAAATTAAAGCAAGAACAAACCTGCAGTACTGAGTGCCCTTTGATCTGCTTACTTATTGTGACATGTTCCCTCTGCTAAGAAGTTAATGATACAAAACAGGTTTGGGCTAAACAGGAGAAAAATGCTATGAAACTTCTCTTGGTATAATGAGCAGATTTCAATAAAGTAGCATTAACTCTGAACTGCCAGGAAAGAGACCCTTTATTTGTGCAGAAGCTGCAGTTACAGGAAACTACGGGACGCGGTAGGTGCAACCTCGTCCAGCTGATCTTTTATTAGAGCAAAGGCCATACTGGTGCTGCCATGGCACTGTTTACATTAGAGCGTCTGTACTGATTACTAACACGGGAAAGCCAAGGCTACCCTGTAATCAGTCTGTGCTTTGCATTTCCTGTTTTAACAGGGAACAGTTAAAAGGTGGCCTGGCTAGGCTGCCTGTCTCAGTGGATCACTGGTGCTTTGTCATTTGTTTCTTTAAAGAATTTTTTCAGGCAGAAATATTGCACTCTTCCTTTGGTGTTTTTTTACATAGCAGATTACAGTTTCCACATGACTACTTGGTCATAATACAGCCAAAGCACCAATTTCAATTTTAAAAAATTGCTTATTTTAAATTCACCTAAAGAGAAATGTTTAGTTACACCAATTTAATATTGTACAATGTACTAATGTGTATATACAAGAGAGCTCTGTCTTATTAAAATAACTTTAGATGCTCAGTATTCATTTACTCTTCTGGAGGCAATAGTTTTACAATACTATTTTCAAAACAAAACAAACCCCAAACCACAGTTATAACTTGTTGCTACACCATCAGGTCACTTGGTCCAAAGTTTATGGGCACTGTTGACTTTCATCTCATATTGCAGGTCTCAATTTGAAAAATTCTTCTAAATGCATGCACAGCATGAAGCCTTGTCTAATTACATCTAAACAAGAACAAATGCCTTTTTTGTGTAAATTATTTACCTGTTTTCCTCTATGTGGCCAAAAAATTAACATAATTATGCTTCAAGCCAACCCCACATTTGGGCATGCATGGTCAAAGTATTAATTCCTTAATTTTTGAATATTAAGGAAATAACAAACCTACTGAAACTTGAACCTTATAAAACAGTGGGACTGCTGTTCTGGGGGAAAAAAGTACTACAAGGGAAAGTGGTAGATACCAGCTGTTTTGATAAATTTACAAAATGCCTTACTGTACAACAAATATGCCCACTTTGCACTATAAGCAATGTACTAAACTGCTTTCTCCACAAATTTGTGTGCGAAACTCTTATCAAACTGTTGTGCAGAGTAGCACAAGCATTTCCAAAAAAAATCTGCAGAATTTATACATACAAGATTCAACTTATTCCTAATTTGAAAACTTAAGAGTCTACACATGTGGTATTGACTCTTTTCAACTGCAGGGAAGGCAAAACAACAAAGAAAGATAGCAGATTTGTGACTGACACAAAATTAAAAACATGGATACAGGGCTAAGGTATTAACTGCTAAGACAATAAGTATTACTTGGAAAAATAAGAACTATTGTCTTTCTAATAATTACAAACATATAACACTTCCATGGTCATTTTGGTCAGAAAGAATCAAGTTATGGCACCCTACCTATAAGCTTTATTTTAGAAAGGATGTGTATTTGTAGCAGCCTGCAACTCTTTAAAAGTTAGAAAATATAGTTTGGAGATACAAGTTGTTGGGTTTTTTTTTTTAATCCGTTCAATTGTGTCTGATTCTTGGAGACTGCCTGGACAAGTCCCTGCAATTTTCTTGGCAAGATTTTTACTGGCAAGAAAAACAGTTTTCTTGGCAAGGTTTTTCAGAAGTGGTTTGCCATTGCCTCCTTCCTAGGGCTGAGAAAGACTGACTGGCCCAAGGTCACCCAGCTGTCTTTGTGCCTAGGCGGAACTAGAACTCAGAGTCTCCCAGTTTCTAGCCTGGTGCCTTAACCACTACATCAAACTGGCTCTCATACATAGGAGTACAGCCCTTCAAATCAACAGGTTTTTCATTACATAATTAAATGAAATCTCACCATACTTTAAAACAGAAAGCATTTAGTATAGGCAAAAATGTTTACAGATGTGATCCCAAGCTGTAGGGACATAGGAAAGGAGAAATTTTTAGCACTGAGGTAAGAGGAAATAAATCTCAAAGATACACATAGTAATCATTATGCTAAAGCTTAGTCACATTAACTCACAGAGTGTGCCCTTTCACAAAACAGTGGCAACACCAGATTTATCACAATTTGTGTAAGAATACATAGTATACTTTACAGTTAATAGATGTTTTTAAAAAGAACATTTTCACTGACTTGGTTAATGAAATCTGAAATTACTGATCAGATCATCTATCCCACCTTCAATATTTTTAACCTTATACACACTTCTCACACCACGAAAAACTACACCAATAGAAAAAACACATTTATATAGAATAAATGGGAGCTTACAAGTTTTCTTAGATTACAGTACAAATAAAATTTCAGACCATGTGTATCATCAACCATCCAACTTTTCAAAATGTTTTTGCTCTGATCTCCTTGACATTCCACACACCTGAAAACATCTCCTCACATTCTTTTGTGTAAATTTGATGAGCTCCTCCACTCAGAAGCTTTCTCTCATGTACTTAACGTTTTAAAGTTTTTCTTAAACAGTGTCTGGGCTGACAGAACAGGCAGCATGCTTAAAGTTGACCAGACAGAAGCTCGAGATTTAAATACGCACGCACAAAACAGAGCATCTCACATCCCACCCCTCCCCCCCCCCCCCCCCCCCCCCCCC